ATACGCAAGAAATATTTAATAACATTGTTATTTTTTAAATTTCTAATCAATTTAAAAAACTGTACGATGATTAAAAGGATCATTTTATTTATTCATATTTTTGGTGGTTAATCAAGCACAACAGAAAAATTTTTCGTAACTATAGTTAATTTGCTGTAGTTCTGTCCATTCTCATTTTATGCGTACGAAAAAAGTTAATATTCAGAATTAATAAGGTCTTGCTGCTATAATCAATTTGATTTACTGGGAATTTGTATTCTCAGTGTGTTCAATTCTTGTATATTCTTAAATTTTATCCGTTAATTCTATCATGATAGGCAAATACAAATACAACAATTGCTTTTTGACAAGTAAGATAAAGTAATGTCAAAATGTTGAGCACAATTTACCATGCAACATATATGATAAATATTACGTCCGAAAGTGCTATTCTCGATGGTCAGATTGAGTATTAAAAAATACGCGAATGATAACAAAGAACCATTCAGTATATTAGGTACAGTTATGTGTTGCCCAAGTTGAAAAGTCAATAAGCCATTCAACAAAGCGTTTGGTACCATTCAAATTTTAAAGTAAGATGCAACCCGTCTTATGTCAACGTGTACATATTTAGTCCTCAATGGATAAAAAAAGCGATCTTTTCTACATGGTTTCCTATTAAAATTTTCAAGAGAATACATAATAAATTTGAAGTGTATTTCACCAACAAAATATTCGAAATTGAACAATATTGTTGTGAGCCATATCATGCAAATTTGGTTGACAATAAGTGGTCCATTTGAGCAAATATTTTCACATGAAATATCATTCTCGACCATTGAAATAGATATTTTTGAAACGACTTGACGATTACTTGTTTGCAAAACGTGACTTGTATAATTCTGCAAAACGTAAATAAAACACGAATAAATAATACGATTATCAAGTTTATCAAACGTTAACATAAAGTATCACTACCGAGAGTGATACGATAAAAATCATATTAAATCAAATTCCGAGAATGTTATTTCAAAAACGTAACAGTTCAATGAACTACGAAACAATATTAATTTCATATACGTCCGAGGGACGCTTAAATTAACATTCAATAAACATTCAATATTAATACAATTAAATCGGCAAAGGACAAATATCCAGCCGAAATTGAAATTGGAAATAATGAAATTTTCATAAAGAAACGACAACAAATTTATGGGAAAATATTTTGAATTTAAATTCCTTTACAAATTAGCAGACTTAATTCTCTAGGCTGGAAATTTGTACGAAATATTTTCGATGTTGTGTACAATTTTGCATGTCATAAGTAATCATGATTACATCATTGAATTATTACAATAAAAATATTTAAAATATCTTCACAAATTGACCATAAAAATTCTTTAAACTAAATTATTTTTGTAACAATTCATTATACACAGATATATTTCATTTGATATAATAAATTGCGTCAGAAAAACATGTGCTTAATTCACACTCGCTGAACCATACAATCAATTGAACGCCCGATATTAATATTAAGAGAAAAAGAAGACACGAAAATAAAGATAAGTCTTTGATGATATTTATAAATTTACCAGGTTCACGTTTATCTGATGAAAATTTGGGACGCAGATCTGGGTAGAAAAGTGAACAACGCGCGAATGGAAAATTATTTTTTCGTATAATTTTATTTTTTTGTTTGTATATATTATTTATTAAACAAGTTAATATTGATTGAGATAAACTACCGTTTTGTAATTCCTCTTTCCTTATCTTTGCTAATTCATTCTACCCGATAATCTTAATATTCTTTGATAATCGAATATTATGCGTTCTTAAGTTAAGAAAAAGAAATTAAAAAAGTGGACAAATAATGATGAATTATTATTATTACATTCTTCGAAATGATTTTACAATATATATGCATGTTTGTTTAACTCTTGCACAAGAATATGCATGTGAAAAATTATATGAGAGAATTATACTTATATTGAAGGAGGTATATATTACCTCATAAAATAAATTCCTCATTTAATCCTGCAGCAATCCTTTTATTTCAAATCAAAAAAGGACTTTCCCGGTGCTTTAATAAAGTCTTTAGTATTATTTTTTCCTCAAATTCAGAAAATCTTCTAATGATAACAAAATGTGATTCAGTCGAAAATGACGCAAACGCAAAAAGATTAACTTAAATTTTAGACATCGTGATCTTAAATTATTATGAGAATTTTCTTCGTTAATTCAATAATAATTTAAATTTCTTTTATCGTTACAGAAATAATAAATAACTCATTTCGTATTATTGCAAATGAATATATGTGATTATTTTCATTGCATACCTATTATCGTAATATTGTTTACAAATTGCATTATTCCATCACACGTAAACTTTCCAGAGTAAAGAAAGTCTTGACTCATATTTCCAATTACATTATTTCATCGGTAAGAATATATTTGCAAGCCATAAGCTCGTGTTACAAAAGTCAATCAAATACATATTTGTTATATTCGATGTGATGATGCAATAAATATAATAAATGTTTCCTTAAGTAGAAAAAAAAAGTAGTAAACAAAGTAACAAAATTTTTGACAAAATTTTTTAATATAAAACATCGTAAAAGTGATAAATTATAAGATTTAGAATAGTATAATTGTTCTGTAACATTTATTGAAAGCAAAATTAAATTTTAATCCCAAATTATATTAAGTTAATATTAAGATTGATTTAATCGGAAAAAGTTTTTTGAGATAAATATATCTTTCGTCGGGCACAAAATTAAAGATCAAAAATTCGCCTCAATACATTAAATAAAAATTATTTAATATTAAAATGCAAATAACAACTGAAGAGCCGTTTTATGGAGCACTAAGATTACAACACGAGTTTTAAGTTTCAAAAATTATTTCACTGTAAAAGAATTGCAAAAAAGAAGCTTACTCGTAATTTACGTATATCTCGTATTCAGCTGTGTCAGTGACATTGTATCAGACTGTTCTACGATTACGTGTTCTCGTCCTGAAATGATTACGCATGGCGGCTTTTTTTTCTAAAAAGAAACATTGCGTGCGTACAATATGAAATTACACATACGTTCCTTTTTTTTTAAAAAAAAGAAAAGTTCTCTCATTGAAATCATATGTATGAATTTGAATTAGCACGTATTATACGTAGAGCAAATTAGATAAAAAAAAAATTACATTGGCCTAAAGTCATGATTTTCATTAGCGAAACAATCATGTTGAAAACGTAAATTATACTGAAAAATTCATGTTTTGTTCTAAGTAAAACAATATGTTCTTCAATATCTGTTCTCATAATTTTATAAAGACTTGAGAATGTCGTAACGTAGTTACATATGCATAACAGTTTCGCATAACAGTGAATTTTATCGCACAGATATGAAGGTACAATGTAAAAATGTGATTTACAAAAATTTGCAAAATTTAATAATTTTAATATTGTATTATTAAATAATAATTATTTATTCACAAAGTAAGCTTACTGGCATGAGAACAATCAAGATACATGATCGATCATTTTTCTTTGACCGTGCAAATTTCTTTTTCTGTTTTTTCGTTAATTATACACAAAGTTCTTATTTTGCTGGAACATATGCAACAGCATAATTTACATTAAAGAACTTCTTATCAGTGCATTATTTTATCCTACGATTCACTATGCTTTCTTTAACAACTTGCACAATTAACGTACATAGTTACACTCTATAACGTGCATTACCACATGAATACTTAAACCCCACTCGAACATTTCTAAATCATGGAGGGAGATTCTACGACATATAAAAGTCTAACTGATACGTAACGTCTGCTCAGTATAAATTCTGTTCTTTCGAAGGAAACGCGCAAAGTGTATTTACTGCAGTTTGATGATAATTCAAGTCGATCTGGACTCGAAGCTCAAAGTTCAATAATAACTATCCGGTTTCGAAGGAAAGGAAGTCTTCCACTCGAACGAATCATAGCGATTTCCTGGAAATTCAAAACGCTGTATTAACATTTTAACAAGGTAATGAACACTTTTAATTCGATTAGAATATTTATCCGCGTGGATGATTACGTAAATTTATATGAATATGCTATCAGTAAAGAAACAAAAACCATGTGAGCAGAAAAATCAGTCATATAGTCAGCTTGATTATATCAGTCTCGATTGATGTAACAAGTTTCGAGCCCTTATCGTTACCACAAGCAGTTATATTTATAACAAGATTGCAACAGAAATAACGAAGAAAGAAAAAAAAAAAGAATAATGATTTAATAATATATTGCACGTGAACGTATTTACGAAATAATGTATCAATAAGGAACAACAATTTTAACAATTAACAAAATAGATTCATTTTTCTTTGAATATCGAGGAAAATCGCTTGCACTATTCGTTTTCAATTTTGTTAGATATTGATGTCGTTAGTAGTCACAAACGTAGTAAGTAAAAGTAATTAATGATCGCAAATGTATAAACAATTGGTTAGTGGTATTAATTATTTTTAAAGTGAATTCAATTATTGAATTGCGATAAAAGAATGAAGCATGACATCTTTTTTATTGTAGGAGTATTAAACACGTGGGCAGGACATTCGAAGCGGGAACGCCAAGAGAGTTTGGCAGAAATCTCAATCAAACTCCGCGCCAATCGTCATCTCCCGGGTGATCGAGTGTCATGTGATTCGAAATTAGCCGAACGAAGCGACGACGGTACCGAGGTTATAAATAGCGGCTGCCAGGGAGTGGGGAGTCTCTTTTACTTTCTACACTGTGCCATAGTGCATTTGGTCCACGCTCGCCTCACTATTACGTTGTGCGCTGTGCTGGTGTAGAGTTCGCTCGTGCGAAGCCAAAGTAGGGTATAGAGATCGGACTATAAACTTCCTCGCTTTCTTTAACCATTAACAACGTCAGACAAGCTGAACCTGTCAACAAAGTCGCGACACGTGGCCGAAGCATTCGAGCGCAAACGAAAGGATCCAACGGCTGTATCTATCACCACGAAACGAAGGAAAATGCCGGAGACCGCTCACCACATGAACGGATACGCTAACGGGCACACGCCGCCCGAGCTACAGCAGGACACCAGTTTTCTATTCACTTCAGAGTCCGTTGGTGAAGGCCATCCAGGTAGGCACCCTAAAAATCATGCGTTCGCCTCATGACTTTTTCGTATTCCGGCTGATATTCGTGCCACCTCGCCTTGAGTTCCATGTCGGTGAGCCGCGTGTGCCGCCATGAAACTCGACGAACGGACCACACATATATACCGTGTGCGCACGCCGCGATTCTACCCTTCCTTCTTTCGCACTTTCTTTACATTCCTTAAAAAGCTTCAAAATGCGAGGATGGTGTTACGTCGCGATTTATTTGTTCCCTCGGTTCCCTTCTTTATCTCTGTCGAACACGGGATATCGACATGCCTCGAACACTAGATAGGGGGCCACATTTTTTTGAATTGCTATCGAAGCAGAAGCAAAGCGGCGTCGCCATGTGCTCTTTAATATCGCAATTTGCTGTGATCTTCGATTCCTTGTACGTTTTTCCCTCTACATTTCTGTTCCGTCTTTTATTATCTGCCAAGCATCCTTTGCAATTCAATTGCGAAATATGTATATAATTCGACTGATTTATTACCGATTTATTGCTGATTTATTAATGTTTGAACATCGTCTCACACGTGTATATCTTGAACGTAGTTGATATCTCTCTTTTTTTTTCTTCGATTCCGAATCTTCATTGAATTTTTGCAGTAGGTTATTTTCTAGTTGGTGTAACCTAAAGTAAGAAGCCAAATTATCACTAAAGATATGATTGAATATTCCTCTCGTTTGGTTTACCATAACACCAAACTTTGTAACATCGGGCTCGAACATCTTGACAAAATTTTGCAAATACGTGTAGACAAAGTTTGAATCAATTAGCGGTATAGTATGTATTTCATTTTTTGATTATGCAATTGTTTCTACATATAATTACATTGAAATTTATACATTTGCATAAATTATACGTGCGAATAATTCAGGAAACATGTTAATCAGATATGAATTAAAAATAATTTCCAGTTATTCAATAATTATAGTCTAACATTTTTCATCCTTTTTTTTTTTTTTT